TGTTTTTGCAAATGTTAAGTTTAAGATATCAGTGAGACATCCACATGGAAAGGTCAAGGTGGCAACTGAAAATGTGAGTCAGGAAGCTCAGAGAAGAGTCTCAACTGGAGATATAAATTTGGGAATCACAGCATAAGAGTTTAATCTTTGGGAATAGATTAGATAACACAGGAAGAGAAAGTAGAGACGAGGGCTTTAAATCGATCATCTTTAAAGCAGAAATAATGTTATCTACCTTTGTGGATTATCATGAAAGTCAATTGAGATAGTAAGTATAAAGCACTGAATACGTAGTAAACACCCAATATCTATTAGTCATATGTTAATCAACATCCCTGATGGCCAAATTTCAGCCACAGTAACATCACAATAGAAAAGATACTTTCTATTATGCAGGCCTCCCAAATTCATGGATGATCACCTATCATACTAACATTTATTGTTCTCTCTTTCTCTGATATGATTGTGATATGAGATCTCTAATTAATGCACATTATCATTAATGTCTAATATCATAAATGCACAACCAACTTTCAGTCACAGTTAATGTACTTCATATGAAAACACATCAACCATAATTTAATCTCTTTTAATGACTCAAAAAGTTTGTCCTTATCTTGATGTCTATCAGAGTCTTCACTAATATCACCAATTGTGATAATATTGGTTAGTATAACATGACACCATTAGGCTAGGATTGCACATTTCTATAAAAAAAGTGATAGCTGATCAAGGAGAACGTTGTATACCGATATATAAAAGCAAGTTACAAACATCAACAAGTACTTGATTGTCTTACATATATACAGAATTCTTCCCAACAAAAACTCACTCTATCTTATAAAGATTATTCTAACAAGCAATTCCTAGTGATTATTATCCTTACGTTTTGGAACCCATTACTGATTACTACTGCTATAATAAACTTTCATACCTGGCTAGCACAATTTTTCTGAACTTCTATTTACCATAATGACTTCTGATTCTAATTTGTTTTCATCAGTAGACTAATACTATGTATTAGTTAAGAGATGGAGGATTCTCGATGTGATTTATAAGTCTTCTGCTCTACTTTTCAGTGATCCTCTTTGTTTTGGTCTCTTCTGGTATTGGCCCCATTTTCTTATTGATAGCAAGACAGCTTTCCATTCTGAGCATCATAACCAGCTACAACAACACAAAGAGGAAGAAATGAGCCATATTATCTAATGACTACTTAGAAGGGAGAAAAATCTTTTCCAGAAGCCTCCCAGCAGACATCTCTCATTGGCTCAAACTCACTCACATGCATATCTTAAATCAATCACTGATGAGAGGAAAGGGATGAGCCTCTGATTGGATATTTATGAATCACTTATTAATTACGTTCACATGATTCAATTATTTAGTCAAATCAATTTCATAAGAGAACAGATAAAAGTGAATTTTTATACCTTTAACTTAAGAACTTGACATTCAACTTTGTATGTTGCCATCGAATTACATATAACATGTTGTCATGCCTGAAATAATGTTCATTAATGGATTACCCTAGATATTATATTGTGACATAATGCTATCGGTTTTTCTTTATATTTGAAGATTAGACTTTCAATTATGACTAACTCTCTTTAATTCAAGTATGACGTTTAAGTCCAGTACGTGACCATTTTGTACATAATTCACTAGATACAGTATTCTTATCAAATGAAGATATCTCCTCTCTCCTTGGTCATGATTTTTCTTTAATAACTAGAACACCAGAGAGAATCAGGGGATTAAAATTAGCTCTTTTTTCACATTGACAGCCAACTGCCCCATACTGGAGTTCCCTTTTCTCTAAGCCTTCAAATACTAAACTATTCCCTTGTTTAATAAGCCAAGCATTTTCCCAGATACTTGGATGGGTATCTGGGATGGGTTGGCCTGAGCCTTCCACATTCTCTTCTCTCTCTTTCATACTATGGTTAAAGATTTAGTCCATAACCTCAAAACAAAGGTTTACTTAAGTCTGTATTGGATACCTTTGATGAATGAAGCAGGGGTATTCCTCACTGAGTATTTCCATTGAGATTTTTTTAAAAGGGACCCCCACTTATGCTAAGTTATGTAATGGAATATTCATCTCTCCCCTTTTCTCCCTTCTTTCTCCAAAATTAGTTGTAGAGGACATGGGGATGGGTGAAAAAGGTGAAAGGAAATGAGGTACAAACTTCTAGTTTTAAAATAAATGAGCCATGGGGATGTAGAATACAACACAAGGAATACAGTCAATGATATCACAACTTTGCTTGTTGATAGATAGTTAATAGACTTACTGTGGTGGTGATCACATTGAAAAGTATATATGTTGAATCACTGTTATACACCTGAAACTATGTAGATATTTAGATAAAACACTTATCTGTTTTTTTCCCTGACTCAAACTATGGGATAAAGAAGTGGATGCAGAGACAAATCATCTTAAGAGAACAGAAAAAAAAATCATCAGGAAAAAAATAGTTCTATCCTTGCAGTCCTTGATATACTAACTCAAACATTCAGACCTTATATTTCAAAGAAGGCACTTCCATTACTCGACCTGAATAGTGAGCGTCTCCCAACACTCTGTCCCAACCTGATAGTGAAAAAGCAAGGCAGTTACCCAGATAATTGATTTTATGTCCCCTTCAATTCTCTTCAGTTGCTAATATAGATGTATCTTTAACATCTTATTTTATCCTTTTCATGCTAATGCTATTTAAACTTTTATATGATGTTCATAAATATGTAATACCATTTATATATTTAAAGACTGCTTACAAACTTTTCAAGGACACAGACTCCCTTCATTTCAATCATAGTAAATCCCTCTGACATTAATAGGAATTCCACATAAGTAGGAAAAGGATGAAAGAGCTCTTAAAACTTATACTGCTATAAAATATACTCAAATGCTTGTTGAGCTCCTTTATTCATAGAGTTCAGTAAGTCAAATAAAGTGTAAGAAACTGTATTCAAAATGTGGATCTAAGTTAAAAATATGAAACACAAGGCCAACTTGAGGCAATTTTCCGAAGAAAATTCTTCAGATCAGATTTATCTAACAAATTCACATTCTGGCCAATGTGGCTTGAAACATCTTTATGTCAGTTAAAAACAATTTTACAAGACCTAGTAAGAGAGACCTGGGCAGAATTGGGAAAAACTATGGTATTATGTTTCAGTTAATTTCTACATCTTTATGACTTTCCCCCGTGCTCTGAACCAGCCCTCTGAGCCACCAAGGGCTATTCTGTGGAGACTCACTTGAGCTGACCACTATTACAGGCTCTAAGACTGTACTTGGGTATAACATTAAAGAATTTAGAGCTGGAAGGAAATAAAATTCTCAACTCTGGCTACAATTCTGAAGGTTGAAAATCAAAAGGTCATAAAATTCAAATGCTTTTCCCAAAGTCAAATAAGCTAACACTAATTCCAAATCTGTGGTTCATTTTGTGGCCTATTCAGGGTATAGGAATCACGTTTGGAAAGTTCGCTTTTCTTGTTATAAATTAGCAAACTAATTTGACCTAAGATAATGATGGTGTTTAGATCACATTGCCTTATGCGAATTTCCTAATATGTGTATAATCTATGCTATATGAGCAGGAAACCGGTTAAAAACAGGTTTAAAATGCAAGTTTATTTCAGTTACTGATTGTAGCTATTTATGTCAAGCCAAAACAGATTAAAAAACACTTTGATTCCTATCAGTTTGTGTTAACATAGAAGAGAAACAAGGAAAAGCATGGAGAAAGAAACTAGTCTTCCAAGTAGACTTTTTCCACGCAGTTAGCCTCTCAAAGTGCAAACCACAAAGCCGACCATGAAGGCAGAGTGGTCAGGGCATCTTCTGGACAGTGTGTGGAGCTAGGGTAGTATAAGGAAGAAGGCTGACATAACAGACAATTCTAATTTGGTTGGTCTAATGTGGGAGCCTAGTCAAGCAAAATTTTAAAAGGCCCCATTTGATACTGGTACTAACCCCTGTTCATAATCCTTGTTGACATGCAAGTAAAGAAAAATCACTGGGCCTCTGAAGACCCAGTGAAGTTCAAAAGTAAGAAACTACCTAGAAAAGGGGTCAACACTCCAATAATTTTAATTTAAAAAAATAAAAAAAGGAAAAGGAGTCAACAAACTTTTTCTGTAAAGGGACAGATAGTAAATATCTTGGGTTTTGCAGGCCATAGTCTGTGGCAACTAGATAAGAGTTGCATTGTAGCAGGAAAGCAGCTACCGTAGTTTTCATAGTGCAAAAGCAGCAGGGATACTATGTAAATGAAGGGGCGTGGATGTATTACAATGCAACTTTATTTACAAAAACAGGTGGCTGAGAGCTGCAGTTTGCCCACTCCTGAATAATCAGAGGAACCCTCTAAAATAAATTTACTATAAAAACAAGACAAAAGTTTAGAAATTTTTCAGATTCTTATTCCCAATAAGATCTAAGAATAAATTGCATTAATGAGAGCAAAATAAGCATTCATAAAAATGAAACAATTTGAGAATGGAAAAGATTGGATTTAAAAGATTATTACCAAATTTAAAATTGCACTAAAGGCAATACACAAAAAGTTAGAAGCAGGGTTTCTAAAACAGGAAGCAAATTTAGAAATTTAACCAAAATAAAGAGAGAAACAATAAAGAACAATAGAGAATAAGGAATAGGTGTATGGAAGAAAGAGATGTTAATAAGAATTACTAAACAGACTAATGGAAAAGAAGGAATAATTAATCAAATGAAAAAAATATTTCTGAGCTTATAATTTAGCAAGAGTGGAGAATAGGGCATATATCAGACAAAACAAGATATGCCATGTCTTGATAATTGTTGAAGCTGAGGGATGACTACTATTCTTTCTATATTTGTAAGATAAGTATTTTTTTCTATTTTTCTAAATTTCCATAAAAAAACAGAAGTTTAAGTTAGGGTTTCTCATAATTACAATATAATACATGTTAATTTTTCAAATTATCAAAATAAAGCACCACGCTTGCTTCAGCAGCACATATACTAAAATTGGAATAATACAGAGATGTTAGCATGGCTTCTGCACAAGGATGTCATACAAATTTGTAAAGCGTTTCATATTTTTAAAAAATAATCATAATAAAAAATTTTAAATAAAGCACAAATAAGAAATCAAACCTAAAATCTCACTACCCAGATATTATCCCTATCAATATTTTCATTATCTATCCTTCTAGTACTCTATCTCTAATCACATATGTGTTTATAAAATCGAGATCATTTTACACACACTGCTTTGTATCTTGCTTTTCCTTGCTTGGTATTATGAAAATATTTTCAATCTGTAATTCCATTTTAACTTTCCTGATTAAGTCCAGTAAAAAAATATGTGTTTGACATTATCTTAAAGCCCATACACACAGGCTTGTTATAATTTTGCAGCCGAACTTCAATTAATATGGTTAGAAATGTTTATATTTAATGCAAAATGTAAACACCCTAAGTATACAAGGACAATTCAGTAATTAAAATATGGTACTTTCAATGAAGTAAGATTAAGGAAATCTGTGTGTTTGTGTGCAATCAACTGAAATCAACTCCAGCTAACATAAGCAGAGAGGAATTTATTGGTAGGGTGTTGGGCAGCTAGCTCACAAAATCGATAAGAAGCCTGGAGGAGGAACTTCAGAAAATGGGCAGAAGCCAAGAAAGCCTGAGCAGCAGGAGCCACAACCCAGACAATACCAAAGAAACAGCCTGGCTAGAACATTGGGGGAAGTCACACCATAGGACATGACTGACATCAGACACTCAGCACCATTGCAGATTCTTGCTGTCTTTGCTATTATAAGTAATTCCTAAATTGTTTCTGCATCTGTGTGTTACTCCCTCAAGTTTCAAGGCCCTGAGATGGAGTGCCCAAATCCTGGAGCTTATATAAGGTGCCCTTACCCTGGCTGCCCCAAGCCAGAGAAAGGGAAGATCACTCATCTTTGGTTTCAGTGCTGTAAGGCAGGGCCCTGCATCCCATTAAGGTTGCACACAATAGGGAAGTGCCCCTAAATAGAGAGTGGATGTGGGAGGAATATGTACGTATTGTATGTTTATATATAATATATAATA